CGAGCACTAATTCTCTATAAATCATGCCTGTGTACATAAACTACCATTCACATATTCAAATATTAAGCTTATTCTATTTCTTTGCTGGTCATGTTAAGGTTGTTTTCCTATATGTCAATATATATAATAATGTAGACACACAGTCATGACATTTTTTTGTATATAATTATAAATAATTGTCAATTCAATTCCCCCCCAACCCCCCCCCCCCCTTTACATGATTCGTGACAAAATACATTGACATTGACACTGGAAAAGACTCAACATTAACATGTTCATTGTAGCAGCGGAAGAGTATGTTCCTATTGCCAAAAATAAATTGCATGCAATTTTATACTTCATTGAATTCAGCTTAATTGGTTCATTGATATCTCTTTATTAAGGGAGAATTATCAGGACAGACAAGAGAGGAGTTGCAGGAAATTTTATCTGAAGCTGTTGGAAAGTATCCATGCCTCATGATTGACATCATAAGACCAGCACAAGGCCAGCCAAAGGGTTACCACCCAGTACCTGGACATAATGTTCCACTATAATGCACTTGTAGAAAGTGCAGGAATATGCCGACTGAGGCAGAACAAGTGTGCTGCAAGAAAAAAAAACTGAGTTTTATGACACTGTTTATTAAAAATGTAAGACAAAAGATTTAAAATGTAGTTTTTTTGTTAGTGAAAGTGATAAAACTTTGCATATCTTGATGTCTTACATTGTTTGAAATATGCATATAAAAATCATTACATATATTGACTTTAATTTTTCATTTACAAGTTGCTTATTTCAAATTTGGTTTTTATAATCAGGTTTTAATTAAAGGTCATTGTTTACAAAACAGTTTGACAAATAAAGGTTAAATCTGCTCTGTTGTTTTTGAGGTGTTCTTCCTTCTTACATTTTATGCTGATCATAACTAAAACAAATAGAAAATATTATTTATATGAATAACTTATTTTTTCAACAATTATGTTAATTTATTTCTCAATTAAATAAAATGTTATTTTTTTCAGGATTTCTTCAACAATTATGTTAATTTATTTCTTAATTAAATAAAATGTTATTTTTGCAGGATTTTCAGATGCTTGTCATTGACGAGGATGTTTTAGCCATAGCAAGGTTGTATAGGAGAGACATCCTGGTCTTTGATGACGAGTCGGACCAGAAGAAGGCAAACAGGCATCAAGCCTACAGGCAGTTCATACTGTGGAGCTTTGGGAGGCTCAGTCCTGGGGACAGGCGAGTTATACCATCCTGTTGTGTGTGGAAAATACAGGATTAATATCCATACTCCTTTTACCAGTTCACTGGGTTTATTCCCTCTAGGATTTAAAATTTGTTTTTAAAAGAAGCATGCCTCCAAATTTGTAAAAATTGGTTTGGATGGTACATAATATCACCAATTTCTGCATTGCAGAACCAGCTTTACCAATCCAGCACAAAGGTTTACTATGATATTCTGTTAAATTCCTATTTAACGCCTCCGGGGGCTAAACATTTTCCAAAAGTTTATTAGGAATTTTACGTAATGTAATCTGGTTGTAAGGTCATTGTTCAAAGTAGGTAAAAGTCCCCCATTTACTGTTTTAATGGATGACATGGATTTGTGGTAGGAGCTTGTTGGTGTAAAGGGAGGACTTTGAAGATGGTGAAAAAAAATCAAAGACAGGGGAGACAAACTTGCATAGAAACTACTCTGCTACATGTGCACCAGTACTGGTGGTATTCACCTGAACTTATAGGGATGGCCACCAAGGGTGTGGAGCGGTTCCATTAAGAATTTTTTAAGAGTAACTGCAGAGAATGTCAAACATCTGTATTGACACTACTAGAGCTAAAATACACTGTTTGTTTTACTCATGAACATAAATATAACAGATGAACTACCAGTGTTTAAGCAACACCAAAGTTCATAGTGTATATTAGCTGCATTAAATAACTATTGAAATATATATGTTTGCACAGAATACATATTCTTAGTATATTAATGAAAAACAGTGTTAATCTATGGATATGTTCACTGATGTTGCCATTAGAAATTGCAGCAGTAGTTAGTGGTATAGCGGGGGTATGTGTAAAGTTTATAAGAAGACGACTGTATTCAAAAGCGAAGAAGCATGATGAAATTAAAATGGCTGCAGAGAGTAAGTTAAACAGTGTAAAGGATATTGTGTTTAGAGCTTTGCTTTGCAAGATGGACAGATAAGCGATAGTGAATTTAAGACAGTTTTAGATGAAATCGAGAAATATAATAATCTCAAAAATAAGACTCGCTCAAAACAGCCAAGTATGAGTGATGCAGAAAAAAAGAAGCTGATAGAAGAAGGAAAAGCGCAGGCATTAAGTGTTATTCAAAAAAAGATAAAAGACACATAATTTTGTTTAATAAGTTTGTATTTGTAAATGACCCCCCACCTGCATATGATATCACTAATTAAATGTTGCCCATTGTATTGGATAAATGTAGGGATGGCAACCAATACTAAAATCAATACTCGAGTACTCGGTCATTTTTCCGATCGAGTACTCGGTTACTCGGATGATTTCCAATGATCTTTAAAGTTTTATCACCGTCTGCATGCTACTTTCGTTTTCTTTTTAATTCATAGAATTCATAACTATAATTAGGACTGCAAGAAATACATATATAAATATAAACATAAGAAATGTCAATGACAGCATTTATTTTATACCTACAAATTTTCTCCCATGAACTTGTAGCGCAAATAGAAAATTCCGTATTATGTTAGTGACAAATACGGTACCATATATGGACGTGCCGGACTATTTTTGACGTTGGTTCCGATCTTAGCTGTGTATAAACGTAGCATTTGGAAACGGAAACCACAATTACTATAAAAGGCGTGCACGGTTTTGCAAAAATTACGTATTCATCCGTCGGTCATAAATTTATTTCTTGACAGCTACATTTCATTTTCTGAAATTTCTTATAGAAGTGTATTATAATGAAAACCATTTATAATTCATACGAAAAGGTATATAATAAAAGGAAAATTATGTTGTAGCCTATGCATTTTCTACTCGCAATGTTGGAAAATTGATATTTCGCTCGACCTTCGGTCTCGTAAGATAACAATTTTTCCACCTAGTTTATATAATTAACAAGTTTCGGCTACAAACTGTCTAATATTTAAAGGTGATTAAATATCATAAGAGGCCGAATGACGTAAACGACACATGACTGTGTTCAATCTCATACGCGTGTCAAACTGCTGATCGCATCGTTAAACTTACGATACATAATGTATCATTTTCACACCTCTGCAAGGATGTTTTGATTGCACTTAACAAGTATTTATACAGATACCTGTACATTTCCGAATGTTTGAACTAATCTTACTTAATGGCAAAAAAGTAGAAATTAATTTTTTTTTTCCGAGTAATCGAATATCAATTTTGTTAACCGATATTCGGACATTCGATCGAGTACTCGGTTAACCGGTTACTCGTTGCCATCCCTAGATAAATGGGAATAAAACCCATGCTTCACTGTTTTATCAAGTAATACAGCAGTTATATACCTTTATCTATAGTCTTGATGTGTTTATCAGTGAAATTAAAGTAACAGGCCTGTTACCTCGGACGCTTGAAATGATCAATTAAGCGTCTTCACGATTATCAGCTGATATTCATATCTTTAGTGGGTGGACACCATGGCGGAAAAAATAAAACGTTTGTCAAAATTCTCTGAAGATGCGCTCCAAATTGCAGTAAAGAATTTACCAAAGAGTGAAAAAGAACATTTTGAAAGAGGATTGGCACTTTTAGAGAGTGAACTGGGTGATAAAGAAAAGAAAGCACCATCCAAGTCGACAAAGCTTAATGATGAAGCTATATTCAGAAACTCTATTATTCCACAGATTGAAAGAAAAGTAGCAGAAATAGAAAAGATGGAATTATCTAACCAGAGATGTGTACTTAAAGTCAGATTTGACTTTAGAACCAACTTCAATGGATTAACTGAGGATCAGCGGAGAAAAGGGCATGAAAATGTTGTTGCTTAATAAACGGGGCTAAAGAGTCTCACATTGCTTGCCCAGCTCTTCAGAGGTATGTTGTTCATAACATTGACAAGAGAGTCGAAGCTAAACGAACAGAATTGGAAAAGTTTTGTTTCTGATGAGATAAAAAGTTCTACAATGACAGTGCTACGCTATATGACACTCAGTTCAATTATTGTCAATTACCCAAGGCTTATTCTTTGTGAACTCTCTTTTACACAAATTTTGAAACATAAAACTCGACTTCTTAAGTTTCTGAAAAGTGAAGAGGGGCAGGATTTGGGGTCAGCACTTTCACTATATAGTGATTTTACTTTAAAATGAACCTATGTTAATGTATATATATATATCCCTGTAATCAGACTAAAACGTAATTATAAAGGTGAAACGATTGAATAAAATAAAAGTACATGACGTTTACATAAACCCCGGATACTACGATATATATATATCGCAGTATTATCTGAGGGATATTTCAGTTTTTGCTGTTTTAACGATTTTTTGTTGTCTGTGCTCCTTTTGGGGCATAAATAAGTATTTATATCGTAGAACCACCATATATCATATATATGAGCGACATACTGCATTATGCTATGTGGTAAATATCTTAATGTATAAAAAAGTAGAAAATATTTCAGCAGAAAAGCACATTCAATTAGCACATTTTAATCACATTAAAATTGCTTTATTAAAGCATTCATAACAATCAATCAAGTTGTGCAGTGATCTTGTTTAGATTAAATTATCACTCTTTCATCAATAGAAATTGTAACAATGGATAGTATATATCAATTAGAATTATCAACTTATACAATCAATGAAACAATTATTGGCTAATAAAAATGTTTTTCATACTGATCAAATTAAAACAATTAAAGAAATTGCCTATTCAAAAATGTGTTATGCAGTTGATAATTTACCATAATTTTAATGAAAACATCTAAACTAAATAAAGGTATTTTTCTTAAACAACTGAGCACCATTTAAAACCTGAAAATCATGAGGCAAGCTTTCTATCATACACATCTTAATTCCTACATGAAGATTATAACTCTAGGAATGCTAGTTTTAATGGACTTTTCTCATCTTTAGCAGTGAAAAATTTAGCCCTGCCCTTTCCATACATTGCTATGTCAATTACTCACAGTGTCACAAATAAACCATGTCTAGACAGATCCATACAGAAAACAAGGCAGCCCATTCTGTGCAAAGAGCACTGTGAAAATTAAACGATGTACCACTTTTGTAATTGAACAAATAACAATATATCTCTAAATTGTAGACAAAGCAGTAATATTTACATTAAAATTGTTAAATGTGTAAAAAAAGATAAGCCTTTTATGGTTAACCAACAGATTAGATTAACTGGCTTCTTGCAGAGAGATAAATTTCTGATAAATATAAATAAATCTCATTATACATTTACTTATTTAGTAAAATAACACTCTTATAAATGGGCATGACTTCAGAATAATGTAACATTTTTGGTTATAACAAAAATACAGTTGTAAGTTATTCAAAGCAATGGTTTCCAAGCAAACTCTTTACTTGTGAAATCCTAGATAAAATACAAGAATGAAAATATTGTCAATGGAACAAAAGTATATCCAATTAGCAATTGATACAAACTAAATCTTTCAAGTAAAACTGAAGGAATGCCCCTTTACAAAGAGATGTAATGCAGGGTTTTCATTATTAAAAGATTAATAGATTTGCGATCCATTTAATCAGTTATAACATGTTGTACATTTAGCCTGTACATTAAAATATCCCCCTTAACCTCTAGCAAAAAGGCTTGTTTTAGTAAGCACATCTATTGCCTGAGATAAAAATGAAAACCCTGTAATGTATGGATGGTCAGTCTTATTTATATGTACATAAAAGCAACCCATTTGACATTGAAACAGTACTAAAATTTGACCTTGAAAATGCAGTGACTGTATAATAAAACTAGACATATATATTTCAATTTTCACTTAAACCATGAAAGAGGAGCCATGGCTCTTTTTTTGTCTGCAATGCATGTAATCTCATTTTGCCATTGACTTGTTTAAAATTTATCTGTTATGTTACTACTGATTTTCAAACCTAAAGTTGAATTGCCTCCAATTTGATTCACAGATTTTTTTAAATACAGTTTATTCATGTAAATGTCTAAAATAGCAAAAATATATGTTAAGCCAGGGTCTTTTGATTTTATAAAACCCTGGCAGAACAGGAATTTTTGGACAGTATTTTGGATACTTTCATACTTTGTGGACAAAGATTTTATAAAGCTGAGTGTATTATAATGTCTCTGACAAACAGTTACCAAATAATGAAGGATGTTAGTCATCAGACTGGTCAAATTTCTAGAATATATTCCAATCAAGTTGTACATTGCAAGCAAATCTGATATACAAACATGGTATACATCATCTGCTATTATTGTAACAGATGAAAATTGCCCTCAAAGAATGGTAAATTTTTGTGAAGTATCTGAAAAATGATCATTTGGGTAATCCAAAATAGTATTTTTGATGTTGAAAGAAAGGAACTAAATAGATAAGAACCAATTTGAGTCACCTGCAATTAAGGTAACTGTGTTCATAAAAAAAATTTATAAAAAAAACTTTCACAATTTGGTAATTTTTTTTTACAATTTCATGGTAATTCCATTCATAATTTGTTAAAAACTAAACCCAAGTTGCATCAACCTCAAATTTTTTTAGAAATAACAAAATCCTTACAGTAATCAGTTATATACATGTATGATGTCTTTGAAAATATTGCTATCATAAAAACATCACATAACTTTAAAACTTTGCATCTGATTAGAAATGCTTAAACACGTATGACAAATTAAAAACATTTTTTTTTTGCTATTTTTTTCTGAATAAGATTGACCATCTTAAGTTACTTACAATGCTATACAAGTTATTAACATGCTATCATAATCAAACCTTGTTCTATGTCAACCCACTCAGCTAGAAACTTCACTATCTGAATCAGAATAATCTCCAATCAGACCTAGAGCTGATGATGTAGAAACAGCAGCAGATGATAACACTTCACTTGATTTCTTGTCTGAACTTTCACTACTCTTTTTTGAGTTCACTTGTTCTATGTTACTGTCTTTTACACAGGAATCTTTAGAATTTGGTTGATTATCTGTATCACATTTTGAGATCTCAGAATCGTTGTTACTGTCATCATGTTTAGCTACAGTGACATCATTACTGCCGGAAGCATGCTCACTTGATGATATAGTAGAAGATACTGATGGTAGACTTGATGGTTTTTTCCTCACCACTAAACCTTTCAGTTTCTGCTTTGATGATAAGCTTCCTACACTCTTCTGCCAAGATTCCTTTGGTTTCTGAGATGCTTGGCTCTTATCACTCTGTAAGTAAACAACAATAAATTATATGAACCCAAGATTTTTCTGCACAATTGTTTAAATTTATAGATAGAACTGTCCATTATCAATAATGGAACATCAAAGCCATTAAAGTCTAGTCAGGCTGAAAAAAAAACAAACTTGGAATTTAGACAAACTGGATACTGGTTGCAAAACAAGCTTTATCAGGATTAAGGTCTCAAAATATTTTAAGATTACAAAATAAAGACAAACAAATTGGTTAAAAGCCAAATGCATTATGTCCTACTCCCTTGAGACAAAAAGACCAATAAACAAGTATATTTATAATATATACATGCTTAACAGGATATTTCTATCTTCAAAGAAGAAAAGCTTTATGTCGAAATGATGTAGATATATCATTAGCTGTATAAATCAAGTTTGATAAAATTGAAATATTAATTATATCAGTATATGTTAGGCTTAAAAGATAAGTCTCAGCATAATAGAAGATAATTTTACAGCGCATAAAGGATTATCCTTGTTGCTTTTGTATCATACTTTACTATCTGCAAGACATGTAAGTAATGACCCTATTACCTCAGCAAGTATATCTGTAGGTTTAGTGTCAGAAGCTGGTGCTGTCATGGCAACTTTCTTTTTTACTGGACCATCTTCATCACTGTCCGAATCATTTAGTCTTTTAACTACCATGGTACCTTTCTCTCCAAAAATATCCCTAAAATACAGAGACAAAATAACAGCCAATCTGTTGTAACATACAGTAAAAACTCGCTAATGAGACCAATGAAGGGACTTTACAAATCTGGTCTTAATAGCGGGTTGGTCTCATTAATGAGTTTGGTCAAACAGAAAACCAAGCAATATATTAAGGGATTCCATGCACTGTACACATCTTTAATTCTGGGCTAATCTATTTCAAATGAGAAGATATTAAGCATACACTATTATTTTTTTATTTTCATTTATTTTCTTTAACTTTTTAACATTATAAAATTTTTAAACTTCTTTTGAGATACAAAATGTATTATGAATGTCATTAAACACAAACATATTTTTACATTCTTGTTAAAGGAATGACATGACTGACTCAATTAAATCACCATTTTACTACAAAACACACCGAACAATTAACCTTTAATTATTTTCACAGTTCTCATCGCCGATAACAACTTCAAAAACATAATCGTGTCTTGTTTATTTTTGTTTGAAATTGTGGAACGGAAGAGATAATGATAGCAGCAACACCACTAAAATCTTATTGAAAGTTTTCTGTACAATATTTTGTTGTTTTAATCCTCTAGTTACGACATTAAAGGTGTGAAATTAAGAAATTATCGACAATATTATTGATCATTTCCGGGTTTGATACAAAGTAACCTTGAACTCTGCCGTAAATTGGATGTCGTTAAATGTCGTAAAAGTAGGACACCTGTTGTTTACACCACGTGTCAAAAAGATTTCAGCAATATACATGCAAGTCAATATCAAGGTGAGAAAGTGCCCTCGGTTGTATTTATGGGTTTCCAAATGTACAGAATTTACGAAATGGGACTGAATTTACTGGTCGTATTACGGAATAACGGGGTGGTCTCAAAATCGGGGTTAGCGACCATTAAAATAAAGAATAAAAAAATCGGGTCTTTAAAAAATCGTTCGTATTAGCGGGTTGGTCTCGAAAACGGGGTGGTCGTAAAGCGGGTTTTTACTGTATTTATTCAAATTAAGATAACAGTCAGACAATTAGGAAATGTTTCATGATTACTAATCATCTTCTGCATACATGTATATAATCTTATCAAAAGGATAGTATTACTATTAATATCTCTGCACAAGGTCTTTGAAGAAATAATCTGGTTACTTCAAAGTAAGATTAAATTTTGTCGAAGCTCATAAGCAGAATATCAAACTTGTAACAATAAGAATATTGTTTCCACTCATTCTCAGACAAAACAAATCTCAATCCAGAGCAAATCAGCTAAAAATTCGAGGCAGATATGAGAATTAATATTATAGCTTTAGAACTTTGGTTTTCACATCATAGACTGCAGTAGCTCAGAGAAACTGGTGAGTTCAAGAGTAAAATTGTACTTTTTTGTTGTTGTTTTGTTTTACACCGTACCAACACAGTATAGGTCATATAGGTACTTTCCGGCTTTACTGATTGAGGAGGACCTCAGGTGCAAGTGGTTTGAAGTCAACGACCTTAACCATTCTGCCACAGACGCCCCTAAAATTGAACTATTTTCCACTCTCTTTCCCCCCCCCCCCAAAGAAAGAGATCTAAGTATAACTACATAGATTGATATGTGGTTACAGACTGATGACACTCTTGAAAATACTCAAATGCTTTAGCAATACAAACTGTTCAAGTTCAAAAAAAGAATGATGCCAGTTATGAGCCTAACTCAATTATCTTCAGTTATTTTATGTTTAAAGTTTCAAATGAATATTTTCAGTGGATGCAGTTGAAACTTACATGCAAAACTTAAACCATCAAGTTCATAAAGGTCTACAATTCCATAAAATTCCAAACTATAGTTAGAAATTATGAAAAATGGTCTTCAAACATTATCCTGCCAATTTATGTGAAAGTTTCAAGTGAAAACCAAAAATAGCTACATGTACATGAGAAAACTTTGACTAAATGTTAAAACATAGGAAAGACAAGGCTCACAGTGAAAAGGAGAGCCAATTAGAAAGTCGGCAACAAAAAGTAAAATTGGCTTCAATTTGTTTGGGCTTTTTTTATGCCAATTTTAAAACCTTTTTTCTTTTATCCCGAGATTGGTCAATCTTACAGGCCTTCCTAGATAATGACCAAAAATTACCAATTTCTTTGCAAATGACTGACCAATTATCACACATGATTTCTGAATCAGCGGTGAGAGACAAATAACCCGTCATTACAAGTTTAGGAGGATGAGAACTTCACAAGCTATTTTAAATCCTATCTCTGTATTAGACCTACTTGATTTCCTCTTCTTCCTTTTCCATCTGAAGCTGAGCAAGAAGTTCCTCATACTTTCTGTATTTCTCAATCATTTCTTCTGTGTTCACCTGGTTCTTTTTAGAGTTTATTTCCCTCAGTTCTTCCAGTGTGTCAATCTGATCCATCTCTGCTCTACTCGCCTTTGTTCTATTCTCTAACATCTAAAATTTATAAATTTAAAATCGCTACATTCAATTGAATGCCTTGCAACAAATATTTATTTGTTCATATTTTTCAATAATTTAAAGTACCTTTCAAGTGTCCTATGCTAACTAAATTAATTCATTTGTTTGATAAATTAACTTGACAGTACGTTTACTCTTTAAACTCAGTTGAAAAGTTTGAGAATTTCCAATCACATTTACTCGGTTAAAATAATTGTTTATAGTTGCAAACAAGGAAAACAACTCTGACAAAACTGAAATAATCCATATGCAAAACCCCTGATGCACAACTTCCATGCTAATTTACATTCCTGTATAGCTTGTTGGCTCTAGATCTCTAGATCAAGCACTTTTAGAGCTACATGTGACACAACACAAGAACTGACAGACAAGGGCAAATCTCAATCCCTCACAGAGTTAGGGCACAAAAACAGCCAAAGAGACATAAATAGGCAGCTTTGTGTTGTACTATTACTGTTTTATTATTGAACAAACCTTCATCGGGTTCATCTCATCCTCCTCTTTGGCTTTTCTCTCCTCCTCTGCCATCTGTTGAGCTATTTTCTCAGCCTCAAACAACCGTTTAGCACCGGCCTCCAGGGTATAGTCTGTTCTCTCCAAGTCAGTCTACAATAATAATATATTTCTGTTAATCATCTTTCTATTCTTTAGCAATAATAATGATTGCTTATATAATTTGAGCATTTGTACATTCTGACCAGAAATTATGCCGTCACCTGCTTTGTTTTAGAATAGAGATGTTTAAATCATTTCCATTAACCAGACATTCAAAAGGGCTAATTAGCTCAGCTCTTGACCTTGTAGTTTCACAAAATAACATTTGTTTATTCTCATAAAAGACTGTGTAACTACCTGACCCAGGGCCTGGCCAACACTGATCCAAGGGGCATGATTTATACCAGTTTTATAGAGGCCAACAAGGCAATGCTGTTACATGTCAAAAAATATTTAAACTTCATGAATTGAAGTTTCACTAAAATATCACTTAAATGTGTTTTCATACACAAAAATATATTAAGTGAAAAACTCCCAACAGTTTCAGGAGACATAAGTAACTTATCTTCAGACATAGTAGTTTCATACAATTTATTTATTATTAACTTCAATGTGTTTTCCTATGTGTTTTCCTATATAAGTCTATATAAATCAAGTAATCCTCAGTGCAAGGCCAATTTTGATCTAAGGAAGCCCAAACCTGCGTTCTGCACATTAATCATTGTCTCAATATAAGTAGCATCTCTGTCAAAAAGTTTTCATTTCTTTCTATCGGTTCATAAGATAAAGAATGAACACGCTATTTTGAAATTGATACAAGTGTGACCTTGACGTGATGATGGTCAAACCTGCCCGCTACATATCATCTCATTATTGTTAACATTTCTGCTAAGTAGTTTCAATATCTTCCATTAATTCAAACTACAATTTGCCACTATCATGGCGTGAATACCCACGCATACCACTTTGTCAGAATCAACAGTGGCCATTTAGAGCTCAAGGACAACCTCCCTGCCAAATCTGAGGTTACTAAGCCAGTGCATTGCTAAGTTATGTATTCTACATGCTTCAAATGCTTCAAATGTCAAAATCAATACATTGCGGACAGGACATTCTTTAGCAATTAAGAAGAAAAGCTTTTTTTTGTCAAGGTCCATGTGACCTTGACCTTTGACCCACTGACCTCAAAATCAAAAGGGGTCACCTTAAATCATGATCAACATCCATGCCAAATATGAAGACTGTGGGTCAAAGGAATCTTAAGTTAATGGGTGGACAAACTTTTTGAAGTCAAAGTCCCTATGACCTTGACCTTTGATCCAGTGACCTAAAAATCAAAAGGGGTCATCTACTAATCATGATCAACATCCATGCCAAATATGAAGACTGTGGGTCAAAGGAATCTAAAGTTATTGGGCAGACAAACTTTTTGAAGTCAAAGTCCCTGTGACTTTGACCTGGTGACCTCAAAATCATTAGGGGTCATCTACTAATCATGAACAACCTCCATGCCAAATATGAAGACTGTGGGTCAAAGGAATCTTAAGTTATAGGGCGGACAAGCTTTTTGAAGTCAAGGCCCCTGTGACCTTGACCTTTGACCTCAAAGTCAATAGGGGTCATTTACTTATCATGACTAACCTCCATGCAAAATATGAAGACTGTGGGTCAAAGGAATCTTAAGTTATTGGGCGGACAAGCTTTGTGAAGTCAAGGCCCCTGTGACCTTGACCTTTGACCTAGTGACCTCAAAATCAATAGGGGTCCTATACTTATCATGACTAACCTCTATGCCAAATATGACGACTGTAGGTCAAAGGAATCTTACGTTATTGGGTGGACAAGCTTTTTGAAGTCAAGGCCCCTGTGACCTTGACCTTTGACCTAGTGACCTCAAAGTCAATAGGGGTCATCTACTAATCATGACCAACCTCCATGCCAAATATGAAGACTAAGGGTCAAAGGAATCTTAAGTTATTCGGCGGACAAGAAAAAACCAACGGACGGCCAGACAGACAAGCTGATTCCAGTATACCCCCCTTACAACTTCGTTGTGCGGGGGTATAAAGATACAGACTTGACATGAAAACGGTAAACAGACAGGCCGATGACCAGTTGCATAAAATTATACATCAAAATTTTTTTGGGTATATAAACTGAATCCTCAGCATTGTAAACCTTAGTAAGAACTACAATATAAACTAGTTCAGAAAACTACATACCTTAAATGCTATCTCTGAAACACATGTTGGACACTTAATGTAGAACCGGAAAATTTTCAGACCAAGATAGTCTTCATCCATTACGTCCTCCTTCCTTGAATTAAACTTCTTCCCTTTATATATGTATCCTTTACACATATTGCACCTAGAATAGGACAGTTACTATTAATTTTCAATACACACAAAACATACTTTTTCTGTAATCTTTCAAGTATTATCTAAAAGGAAGGTAAAAGGCACATTATGCCTCAGAAACCCATATTTTTGAAATGCCAAAGATGTGTTTAATAATGTTTAAATAATGGATCAAGTGCAAGTTAGATGTTTTACAACTGCAAACGTAGCACCAAACATGCAGTTATGTATAGTAAAGGTAGTGAAATGTAAATAGAGTAGTATTTTGACTTCCATGAAAAATATTAATTCACTATAATTAAAGCAATTGCCAACAGAACTAATGATGAAAAACATGGTTAATGCATATAGCAAATAAGTATGTTTTTTGGAAACTGTAGCAAGATACAAAAATAAACGTTTTTTCAGAAATAAAGTTCTAGAACTGTGTCCAAAGGACACTGATGCCCCCACTGACAACATATATATGGTATATAGTGAAAAAAATCAACGAAGGGCCATAATTCTGTTAAATTTGGTTGCAGCAAAAATTCCTTCCTTTACTTCCATCAACACATTAAGGTTGTTCATCCTTGGAAGTTTAAGCAAAATCTGCTATACGGTTTAAGAGGAGTTGTGTTCACAAAATTCCTACAAAGTATGTAGTGAAAAAATCAACAAAGGGCCATAATTCTGTTAAATTTGGTCGCAGCAAAAATTCCTTTCTATACTACCATCTACACATTAAGGTTGTTCATCCCTGGAAGTTTAAGCAAAATCTGCCATCCGGTTTAAGAGGAGTTGCGTTCACAAAATTTCTATATAGTATATAGTGAAAAAATCAACAAAGGGCCATAATTCTGTTAAATTTGGTCGCAGCAAAAATTCCTTCCTTCACTACCATCTACACATTAAGGTTGTTCATCCCTGGAAGTCTAAGCAAAATATGCCATCCGGTTTAAGAGGAGTTGCGTTCACAAAATTTCTATATGGTATATAGTGAAAAAATCAACAAAGGGCCATAATTCTGTTAAATTTGGTCGCAGCAAAAATTCCCTCCTTAACTACCATCTACACATTAAGGTTGTTCATCCCTTGAAGTCTAAGCAAAATCTGCCATCCGGTTTAAGAGGAGTTGCGTTCACAAAATTTCTACATAGTATATTATACTATATAATGAAACAATCAACAAAGGGCCATAATTCTGTTAAATTTGGTCGCAGCAAAAATTCCTTCCTTTACTACCATCTACACATTAAGGTTGTTCATCCCTGGAAGTTAAAGCAAAATCTGCCATCCGGTTTAAGAGGAGTTGCGTTCACAAGATTTCGGGACGTACGGACAGACGGACAGACAGACGTACGTACGGATGGACGGACGGACAAGTGCAACGCTATAATATATGCTCCCACTCTGTGGGGGCATAAAAATGTAGCCTCCAAAAACTGTAATTTAGGCCGTAGCAACTTAATATTTGCAGAATTCAAATGCCGCAAAAGTTTGCCTCCGCGAAAATACCGACGTTGTGAAAAACATGAAATATTGTATCCGCGAACATTTCTAGGAAAACAGTATTTCTGACAGGAACTTAACTTTGCCAGATATGTAATTATGGCTTACAGAGTTTCCAACTCAGCTCTGTTTTGTGCAGGTTTCATGCCTGTAATAGCTGAAACTTTGTCAGGGTTAGGTTTCATTCTGTCAGAGTTTAGTATATGACCAAAGTATTTGACCGCGTTTGCACCTATTATGCATTTGTCTGTATTTAATTTCATACCATTTACTTTTGCCCATTACAGCACCTGAAAGATTTGTCATTATGCTCTTGTTTTGTCTATTAGTTAAATGTCAGCTATTATGGATTTGACACTGGTCAATTCTTGAAAAATTCATCAATTTTTCTTGAAAAAATGAACTGCAAATTCCCATAGGTAAATGCAAGTACAGATATCGTCCAAATGGGCTTTTAAATGCAGTCAGTTATGACGATTTGTCAGTTTAATAGACTTGTAACCTTTAGCGAGTTTCCAGCAATTGTTACATTTTTTCCCTTTTCCTGGACAGTTTGGATATTTTACATGTAATGTCTCTAATTTTGAAACACTTGTTTTGTTTTTCTTTTTTAAGTCAGTTCTCCTGTTTTGGTTTGTTCCAAAAAGAGATGGACATCTACCACATTGATGTGCCCCATGGCCATTACTTGCTGTTTAGCATATTCCATGTTTTGTGCTTTCTGTATTCACTATTGCCTTATCCATAATAAATGTAGCTCCCTCTTTTATAAGTCTTTTTCTTAATTGTCTGGATTTGTAACTCAACCACTAGGCGGTCACAAATCATGTTTTCCGCATCATTCAAGTTTTTAACAGTCTATTGCATTAATAGGCAGTCGCGTAATGCTGTCTTCTCTTTGAATTTGGCAGAGCAATTTATAGCATGCAAAAATCAGATTTAGTTTACAGGGCTCATCCTGGGGGGAAATTTTAGGGAGAAGTGACTTCCTCGCGAAAAATAGGGAGCAGGGAAACAACCCAATGTGTATGCATTAACATGCATGGCTATATACATCCTTTAACTATAATATAAACACAATTAATCTATCAGCTATTTATAAGCTTTCTTTAAATATTTGTTTATATATTTTCATATAAATTTATTGATAATATTAATGTGTAAGAAAAAATTTGATGAATAAGTTAATTTTTATATTTTTACTTTCCTCACTTTTAATTGAAGATAAAGTTAAATTGAATATTGACAAATAAAAGCTCTCTATTCTGTTCTGAGTACAGAAAATTCTTTTATGGCCTTGTATGTATGTATGTTAATGCTTAATGAGGGTCCATTATCCGCCCTTCCGGGCACAAAAAGCAGCTTTCGCTGTCGAGTACGGAACCCTTTATGGCCTTGTTTCCTTTTATGGCCTTGTGTGTGTGTGTGTGTGTATTTGCATTTATTTATACTCGCCACCGGTTGCCCATATGGGCGAGTCCTCCAGAAGAGTATTAGTCATTTTAAATTTTTGGAGGATAGTGCAATTACAGATACAGAAAGATGCCCCAATTCCAGAAGCTTCTCCTGGTTCTTTAGCGTGCCAAGTGTTTAAGCACCCATACAAGGGACCTCGATTTAAAGTCTCATCCGAAAGACTGATTAGTAATTTTAGTTTGCCAGCCCGGGAATCGAACCCACAATGTCGAGATTTATGCCTTGTTTTTTGGGGTTTTTTTAGATGCGTTTATTTAAGGTCGCCGCCGGAAAGCCCATATGGGCGACCGTACACTCAAGCCGGGTCATCCTAGAGCGTCCCGCCGAGAATTTTCGTCGATTTTTTTCCAGCTTTATTGGTGGAGGAAGACCCCAGGTGCCCCTCCGGGCATTATTTCAGGCACGAGCGAGCACCTGGGTAGAACCACCGACCTTCCGTAAGCCAGCTGGATGGCTTCCTCACATGAAAGATTTCGACCCGAGTGAGGATCGAACCTACAGTGGTGAGGGACCTGTGACCTCAAGTCAACCACTTTAACCACTCGGCCACAGAGGCCCCTTTATGCCTTGTTTGTTGTAATGTCACATTTATCTGCATATAATTATGCTTATAAAACAATTTTCAAACATTGAAGAATATGAAAAATATGTACTGCAAACATTTGTGCACATTATATTTGATCACTAAAATTATATACATTCATTTCTTATTGACAAATTTGACTGAGAAATTATAGAAAATAATTTGTAATTACCTCCCTTTATTTTCATGAAATGTTAAACTCGGTAATATCTTTATAAATAATGCTTTTTGAGAAATCTTTTGTATCATAGTCAAACATAAAAGCACGTTCCCTGTTGTCACAATATGAAACCCCGGCAAAAATGAACCAATGAACGAACATCTGAATATGACATTTCTGTCGCTTTCCCTTTCTCTGCCATGACAATATGTAAACCCCAGCAAAAATGAGCCAATCAATGGGCATGCTCTGGAGTGCGGGTAACTAATACCCGCACTCCAGTTAACGCACTGTGCATGTATATGTATACGATTTAACCCTGACACATTTTCAACAGAAAGGTCTCCAAACTATGATACAATTGATAATAATGTTCAGTTTTTTAATCAGCGCCCGATATATAAAAGAAATTCATATTTTGCAATTAGCTTTGTTGATGAAGAATATAAACTTACAATAGTCGCTAAAAATATTTACCATTCTCAATATATCCAAGCGAAAAACAAAGTGTCAACAGGTGCTAAGACAATGTATATTGACATACCGGTACCTTTGATCTTTTGTCAGGGCAGCAGTTCTTACGTCACGCTTAAGATGTCTGTATTAATTAATTATATGCATAATGTTTTTGTGCCGACCAGCCAAAGACCAATCAAAGTTTATTTACTCAATTGTCAGACACTCTCTAGCCAATCGTGTTTGATTAGCTCCATCTTTAAAACTTTTTTAATTGGATGAAGGCGTGTTCGTAATAATTTATGCACACTTCTCTATAATTAACTCGCACTTTTCACAAATATATAGTTTTTTTCCTCCCGAAAGTTATGACATATTTATTTGTTTTGACCGTGAAAAAACTATAACTACACGCACGTATTGGATTATCTGTGACGATTTGTTTTGTTTATAAAAACTGTGACTCAAAAGTAAGTAATAGTTACGGTATGAAGAACAAGTCTACATAGTATAACTATTTACAGACCCCGGCCGAGAAAACGTAGCGAAGGGTTACCGAGTGCGGTACTTACCAACATGCTCTTGTTTTTCTATACAAACTTCAGTTTTGAATTCAGTATTTATTAATATTATTCACAAGAACCCTTTTTCAGGGCTGAAAATTAGCGGTCGCCCAGTCGCCCATGGCGACTAAATTTGTAATTGGGCCACCAAAAATTTCAAAATAGTCGTCCAGTCGGCGACTACAAAAAAATGGGCCGTAGATTAAATTATCCGCACAATAAACGAAAATTAAACGGCGCGCAACGGATTTTATCCCTATCAATAACATCACAATATGGCTGCGTCCATAGCGTAAAAAAAAATCACATTGTCCGTGGAAAAATGTGGCGGTTTCTTGACGGTGTTAGCCAACCGAAAAAGAAAAAGCTATCAGCCGATGACAAAAGAAAGTACTTCAATGAATATGAGAAAAATAAACGTTCAAGATCGTTCCTACTGGACTGGAAAAAGGAAAGACCGTGGCTTGAAAATACCGAGAACGGAATGAAATGCAGCTATTGTAACGAATATGAAAGCAAACGTCAATCTTTGTTCGTTCAAGGTTGTAAAAGTTATAAAATTGAAACAATCAAATTACATGAACAGTCCAAATCCCATCTTAAGTGTCAGGCTTGTTATCATGCAAAATGTGTGCCTGCAAGTATGTCGGAAGCTGGGAAATTAGTGCAAAAGTTAAATGATGAAAATTTCAAGAAAATGGCCATTTTATTTAGGACAGCGCACGCCCTTGCTATACATAACCGTCCGTTTACTGACTTTATATGGATGTGTGAGCTTGACTCTGTAAAAAATGTTAATGTCGGTGAAACTTACAGAAATGAAGCAGCAGCTAAAACTTTCATAAACTATATTGCTAAAAATGAAATTACAAAAGTGTCATCACGCATAAGTACATCAAAATTTCTCTGTATTATTGGAGATGGGAGCACAGATGCCTCTGTTAAAGAGCAAGAAATGTGGTTTGTCAGATATTGTAGAGAAGGCATCATATCTACTGACTTTATAGGTGTTGATAGCTGTGACAAAAGCATCTGCTGAGAATATTGTAAATGGCCTACAAAATGTTGTTCAAACTAATCTTTCTTTATGACTGGAATAAATTTCTTCTGAAAACTGTTGCCATATCATGTGATGGTGCCAGTGTAAAAGATTGGATGTAAAGGTGGAGTTGGAGCTATTTTAAGAAGACAACAGCCTGATATGATTACGATCCACTGTATGGCTCACCGCCTAGAATTATCCCTAAAAGATGCTGCCAAATCAGTGAAATTATATGAAAAAACTATTAGTGTCCTTGCAATGGGACTCTATTATTTTTTATCATAATAGTAGCCTAAATAGAGCAATGTTGAAAAGGAGTGAATGTGCGCTGAAAAACAGATGATGACAAGGGCTTATTGCTACCAAGCAGGGTTGGAGGTACAAGGTGGATTGGGCATACTGCATTGGCTTTACAAAATATCACAGTATCCTATAAATATATAATTAGCCATCTTGGACAGGTACAGTCACTTCAATAAATTAATTATTTCAACAACTAGAATTTTTTAAAAGTTATAGAACTACAAAGTTTGAATAACGGTTAAACCATATAAAATAGTTTAGCAAAAAAGTTAAAAGTTCTTCGAGATATTACGTACAAGATAAGATGAACAATAATAAAATTAATATTTTATCAGAAAACTATTTTTTGCTTTATTGTATATAAGTAACATATCAGAATATTTTTCTCATACTTACCAATAAAATTCAAGTTTTATTCTTCTATTTTGTAATTTTTAATTGTATTTTACTTGTTATTGGCATAACTATATGCATTTATTGTTTAACATATCTTTAATTATAGACCAATTCACTTTACAAGACCTAATCTAATGTAATGATCTTAATTTTTCTTATATCTTTCAGTTAACAGAACCATCTGAACGTGTGTCAACAGATTCACGGGCCAAAGCCTATGCTTTTTTGAAACTTCTTCAGACAAAGAGCATTGTACATTTCATCTATTTTTTGATAGATGTTCTAAGTGTCTTTAAAACATTGTCACTAGGTGTCCAAAACAACCAGTGCTTGATCTCCCAACAACACTCGACTATAGAATCAATGTTGGAAGTTCTTAGAGGATACAAAACTAGGTAATTTATAAATTATAGGAAAATAGTTTTACAGTAATCTGTTTAATTTAATCATATGCCCCACTTAAATCTCAATCAATTTACCAAATATTCTAAAATTGCTAAGTCGAAATCTAGCCATCATTATCTTATTAACTGTTATAAATCTGAAACATTGTATTGTTAAATGTGCTTTAAATTGCATATATAACTGTTTTATACCAGTGATGGACCCAGTCTAAGAAAGATTATTAACAGCAAATTAGAATTAAAAGGAGATGAAAGAGAATTTAATTCAGCAAGGAACAAGATCATAGATCAGATAGAAGCAGCACTTTTGCGAAGATTCTCTGAATTTTCATCATTAGGTGTGATTAAGGCTACAAGAATAGCAGATATTTTATCATGGCCCAAGTCTTGGGAAATGTTTCAAGGTTATACTGAGTTTAAATGAGCACTGATTGTTGTTTACTTTATTTATTATTATTTGTGTGATTGTTGATTATTATTGTTATTTTATTTTACTTTTTTTGTATTTAATTTTGCGTTGTTAGTGATCTTACTGATTCCCTTTTTATTTTCTTTAAGTTTGTGACTGTGAATTATTTATTTTCTTCAACTTTACATACATGTCAGTATTTAAGGAAGATTCAAATAAATAATAAAATTATATTATTTAATTACAAAAGACTAAAGCTTGGACAAGTGCAATTTTGTGTAAGTGTTACTATAATAGCAAATTTATATTATTGATATATAGGAGTGTCATTATTTATAAATCAAATTGACAAAAAATGAAAATTCTTAGAAAGAGAAATGAAATAGTAAGATAGGGAAAATAAAGTACATTCACACTATATTTATATACTGATAGTCTGATAATTTGTGTTCAAATAATTGTTATTCTGCTTTCAGATTTTGGAACAGAAGACTTGCTAACTTTAATCAGTCATTTCGTACTTTATTTGAAAAAGCTGGGTTATACTGTGATGAGATTGAGATGGAGTGGATCATGTTGAAGAAGGCTATTTGTGAAAAGTAAGTTAAAGCTTTTATATTCAAACTGAATTTTCTTATCATTCATATCACTCTGTTGATAAAAAATATTAGTAATACAGCTAACTTCAGACAAATAAATGTTACAATTAAGTTTAAATTACTTCATAAACTGCCTGTTTCAATGAAACAATCTGAGGATAGTTATTCTGCTAAATTAATTCTAACTTAGTTCTTACATGTGATGTTTGAAACTTGATAAAAAAGCAAATAAATAAAATGAGATTAATATAATACAAAAACTAAGATTTTCTTTTTTGGTATTTCTATTTTAGCACAGCCAAGTTTGAATCACGGACACAAGTAAATGAAATATATGGACACCAGTATCGGAATATATTAGATGTAATGGATCTTACTTTAACTATGAGCCCAAGTAGTGCTGAAGCTGAAAGGGGATTTTCATTGATGAAAGTTCCAAAAACAAAAATCCGATCAACATTGAGTCAGGGTAGTTTAAATGACCTATTAATTACCAAGTTACATGCTCCTAAAATTGGAGATTTTAATCCTAGTGAGGCTGTTTATCTATGGAACAGTGAGGGAAACCGCACTAAAAGAGTGAACTTTAAAGACATGTCAGCAAGTAAAAGAAACCAACTGTGTTTACTCAAACACCAGATGTTGTTGTTCCACAAGAGACTGAGAGCATTGTAATGTCTAAGCCAATTCCTGTTTCAAAAGACTTGGAAACTGGTCCTGAAATTAGACAAAAGCAGTACCTCTATTGTTTATGAGGAATCCCAACAATCCAGTGTTTCTGTAGAGGTTCAAAACAGATCAAATTCCTTCTGTTGAAGCCAGCACACAAACATTTGACAATGAACTTGTGAGCAAACAGTATAGATTTTCTTCAATAACATCAGAGGAACACTCAAATAAGTACTATTCCTCATCTGATGAGGCCAGTGACTATTCTGATATTGACTCGGAGGAGGATATTGTGTTTTCAAAATTGTTGGACTTTAATACTAGAGACTGATATTTAACACACATAACTAAACAATACACAAATAAGGAACTCTGTTTCAGTGATATGATTTAATTTACAAAGTTTTTAATTAAATTAGTAATTTTCATAGATTCAGAATATGACTTGTTATATTAACTCGATAAATTGTAGGTCCACTAAAATATTTACTGGGCCACCAAAATTTTCCAGTCAGTGGTCCAGGTGGCTAGTTTTTATCCCTGCTTTTTTATGTACTTAATCAGGTATAAGAATGCATTCTAATGTCATTTAGGATATTTTCTATGAGTGCGCCCATCGGGCCCACAGTTGAATTTGTTTTGCGCCGGCGGTCTTTTCAGGGGGTCAATGGCGCAATGGCGCGCTCTAGATTGAACACTGAATTTTTAATTGATGTTAACGGACTGAAATTATTCAAAACTATGATTAAGTTTTTAATCCGATCGCTGATCATTAATGAAATTGAGTTATTTTTTTAATTGATAAACAGTTTTGTGATAGCCGTGAAAAAACCATTGCACATCGCCTTTACTCGGGTTAAACACCGCGTGTGTATAGAGAAGATTTGCACGATTTGCACGTGTTTAGATGATCGGGAAAAAACATAATAATCATCGCCAAATCCCGTATTAAACTCGCAAAACTGTGCACAATTATACCCGTTTCGGGCCGATGCTCTCATTATTTACTGTTTAGAGTAGGCGGTCTATCGCTTTGCATACAGGTAGAAGGGTAGTATAAAGCGACACTCTGATTGGATAATGATAAGGCCTAAAAAAAAAATTGTTTTGTTAGGGTAACATGCTCTCAAGGAATAGGTAGGGTAGGTCGGAATTTTTTTTTTTTTTTTTTTTTTTTTTTTTTTTTTTTTTTTTTTTTCACCAGTATATTGAAATTTAGATATGGAAATTTCTGACATCCCTCCCGGGTGGCACAAATACATCCCTTCTATGTTTTCAAAGGACATTTCAGGTGTAACAATCTTAAACTCTCAGCGTTCTTCTGGTGAAGATCACACGCCGTTTTACAAATATTGACCATGTGATCCGCCATTTTGTAACTAAGGGAATTTTAGGGAGAAGTGACTTCCTCATGAAAAATCGGCAGAAGGGAAACCTCCCAATGTGTATGCATTAACATGCATGGCTATACATCCTTTAACTAGAATAGAAACACAATCTATTTATCAGCTATTTATAAGCTTTCTCATATATTTTTGATAAAAATGTGTAAGAAAACTATGATGAATAAATTAACTTTACATTTTTACTTTCCAGATAAAGTTACATTGGATAATGATTAATAAAATCTGTCTATCCTGTTCTGTTTACAGAAATTTCTTTTGTGATCTTCTATGTTGTAATGTCACATTTATGTGCATATAATTATGCTTATAAAACAATTTTCAAATATTGAAGAATATGTAAAATATGTACTGCAAACATTTGTGCACATTATATTTGATCACTAAAATTATATACATTCATTTCTTATTGAAAAATTCGACTGAGAAATTATAGAAAATAAATTTCTAATTACCTCCCTTTATTTTCATGAAATGTTAAACTCAGTAATATCTTTATAAATAATGCTTTTTGAAATTTACAATATTAATAAATCTTAATCTGAGCGTCATATTTATGACATTAAAACAAATATATATATTGAAACAATAAGAACACTTCTTTCCTGACAAATTTTGTTGTTACATACATGAGCACATGATATACGACCGATATGTCGCATGCCGATCAAGATTCGACAGAATCGTAGTTTTAGGATGTCGTGCCCACGTGCGTACAAGCTGTGTCAAATTTGGCATTTCTACAAAGATAACAATGCAAAACACTCTCACTGTCTACAACATACCAATCATAAGATTTTTGCGAATTGGCTTTCTTAAATTTTCGCGTGTATTAGGTGTATCAGAATCAGTAACTTTTTTTTACTGCTAGGTTTGGGCATTTCACCCAAAGCCATGACGTGAGCGACATAACAATTTTTAATTGATGTTAACGGACTGAAATCATCCAAATGAAATTAATTATTTTTAATTGACTAACAGTTTTGTGATAGCCGTGAAAACATTGCACATCGCCTTTACTTCGGTTAAACACCGCGTGTATATCAATTAGGGAAGATTTGCACGTGTTTAGATGATCGGAAAAAATTAATCTATAATTATCGCCAAATCCCGTATTAAACTCGCAAAATATACCCGTTTCGGGTCGATGCTCTCATTATTTACTGTTTAGAGTAGGCGGTCTATCGCTTTGCATACAGGTAGAAGGGTAGTATATAGCGATGCTCTGATTGGATAATGATAATTAGCAGTCGTCATATGGGCGGATACAATCTCTGCTCTTTACATCGGCAAGTATTTACTCTTTGGGAATTAAGATTTTATCGGCGATGTTGACTTCTCTTTGATCAATTGGGAGAGCGAAATGGAAATATACACAGCGAAATTTTCGCCTGAATTGCCCTTCACACTGCTCATTGAGTACCTCAATAATACGGTATTTTCATGGATTTTTTTTTTTTTTTTTTTTGGACACGAAAAAAACGGTAGGGTCGGCACATATTATTAGGTAGGGTTCGGGTGACCTGAACAAAACAATTTTTTTTTTTAGGCCTAATTAGCAGTCGTCATATGGGCGGATACAATCTCTGCTCTTTACAGCGCCAAGTAATTACTCTTTGGGAATTAAGATTTTATCGGCGATGTTGACTCTTCTTTTGATCAATTGGGAGAGCGAAATGGAAATATACACGGCGAAGTTTTCGCCTTAATCGCCCATCCGGATGAGCCCTGAGTTTAGGTCTGTCATACACCCTTAAAGATATTCTTTTCTTAGATTTTAAAATAGAAGACAATCTTTATTTGTAAGTTTCCTTATATTGTTCCAACAGTAATCCAATCTAACCTTTTAAAATCTGTTTTAGATTTCTTCTGACACCATTTTAGAGTTATATGATAATCAAGTAGACTTCACAAAATAGTGATATAACACAAACACATATCATATACTCTACAAGATGTAAATTTATTCTCCTAAAATCCCTAACATCAAGATTTCAAGACCCTGGCTAGATATATTATTACATAGTAAAAAAGAAAATTACCTCATATTGAAAGGAGCCATAATACGAATGTTAAAGGTAGCATTTCTGTTTCTCTTGCCCTTGGGAATCTTTGATGGATCATAATCAGCTGGGTAATATTTCTAAAAATATAAAACCATAATTTAAAAAAAATAGGAAAAATAATAAATGTGGACCTCTTTTCTGTTTGAACTCTTGAAAAAATAATTGCACATAACAAAAACTTTGTATGACTTACACTAATCTAATGTATGTAATTTATCATGTTTATTATTACATCACTGATCAGACAAGTTGGGAACTTCTTCTTGCCCTAGAAAATTTGTTCTAGCCTTTTTACAATCAAGCTAGTTCTCATGAAAGTTGTATACATCCCCGTGAGGGGTTTAACATTAACCGAAAAGAGAAAGATAGATAAAAGTATTGTGGAAAAGTCATGCACATGAGGGCCTGACTGAATTTATTGATCAATGGACTTGTCAAAAAATTATACTGATTATGAAAAAGACATAATTTTAAACTTTTTGATCAGAAGTTTCCCATGCTAAACATGCATGAACTTGAATGAGTGATTTAATATGAAGGAGGTTCAAGTTGACATTAATTTTGAGGTAAACGACGTTAAATTGATTGGTCCGAAATCATTATGGGGCGAATCGCGAGTGGGGAGAATCATAAAGAAATTCCTCCAATTTTTTTATTTACGTAGGTTTGAAAAATTATCTACGACGATGAAAAATATACCATATAAACTTCAAGGCAAAAGTTTGAAAGAAAAATATTACGTTTAAGACTTTCCTTTCCGACATTTTTAATACTCAACGAAAATTTTCGACAGAAATAAATTCGCGCACACTACGTTAATAATCAAACGCTTGATTGACATGGATTGAATTCAGTTTTGTACAGAAAAGTACGGTATGCCTAAAATACGAAAGTGAGATTTTTGACGAAAGTGAGCGAAAGTGAGCGAAAGTGACTTTTAAAATTTGAATTGTACCGTTTTAATTGAATTTTACAGTAAAATTGCTATTTGCAGACGTATATTATTAGCAACTTTTAATATTTCTTTTCAAAAATAATCACTATGATGATTTAATCGCCATTTATTTGCATAATTTCTATACACAAGTTCTGAGATCTTCCTATCGCTCACTTTGAAAAATACGAAAGTGACATGTAAAATATTGAATATAGAGTTTAAATTTAAATTTGTCCTAAAATTGCAGTTTGTAGACGTATGTTATCAGAAATATATAGAAAAAAAATTCAAAAATAATCACTATGTTGATTTAATCTTCCCTTCGCTCACATTGAAAAATACGAAAGTGACTTGTAAAATATGAAATAAAGCGTTGAATTGAAAGTTATTACTAATATTATTGCATTTTTCAGGCGTATATTATCAGAAATTGATATTAATTTCTTATAACATACGTCTACAAACTGCAAATTTAGTACAATTTCAATTTAAACTCTATATTTAATACATGTAGTTTGTCACTTTCGTATTTTTCTATGCAAGCGAAAGGAAGATAACTAAACTTTTATATTTAGAAATTAGGCCAATAATGGCGATTAAATCATGATTATGGTTATTTATCATAATATATATAATTGGTTGCTAATAATATACGTCTACAAACAGCAATTTTACTGTAAAATTCTATTAAAACGGTATAATTCAAATTTTAAAAGTCACTTTCGCTCACTTTCGTCAAAAATCTCACTTTCGTATTTTAGGCAAACCCATAAAAAAAACATTTTTCTTTCAAAATCTTGTCAACTATATTCCTGATACAAACGTTTATTTATCCCTCTAAACAATGTTGAAAATAGTTAAATGAAATATCTTTATATCATTAAAAATGTTCCCCGCAGGAAACCATTTTACTTGTTACTTTTCTTGTGTACTTGCGTGTTTTGAATCATTCTTCGTGGTATTTACGGATACTTTTCTGGGGCATTTTTAATGATATAAAGATATTTCATTTAACTATTTTCAACATTGTTTAGAGGGATAAATAAACGTTTGTATCAGGAATATAGTTGACAAGATTTTGAAAGAAAAATGTTTTTTTTATATATTAGCTGTGGTTTGTTTTATTGTACTTTTCATTTCAGTTTAGTGCGTGTAATTATATTATTGTTATTAATTATTTTCAGTTTCGTGTTGTAAATAAAACTTGTTATTATCGATAATTGCGGTTTGTTATTTATTCTTATATATTCATACATATTGAATCTCATTACAAAATACAATTAATACGCGAATTTGAACAATAAACGTGATATAGTTTCACACCTTATGAGTATATCCCTTATTATCACTTTATTATATATTTCTATAGTGGTACGTAACCTCCAAAAATGGTACATTTATGCAGTGGTACGTAACCTCCATGGTACGTAACCTCCAAATTCCGTTGACAATAATCGATCAATATAGAAGAAGGTCTTTGGAAACTGGTGACCGTTAAAGACCGGAGAAGGTCGAACATAAAACAATTTTTTCTTTTTAAGAAAATGATTAAATACTATTAATAATTCCGGGCAAAAAGAATAAAGTAAACACACAAGTTTACGCAGAAAATTTCTCTATTTTGTATGATAGATGTCACTAGATTCTACGAATATTTTCATGTTGCAGATTTTCAGTATCAACAATTTATTTTTTGTAAAATTTGAGATAGATATTAAAGAAACATTGATAATTTCAAACACGTCATTCAAGTTTTCCACCTTAAACGGTAAAATAATTAAATAAAATTAGAAATATCACGTAATAGTTTTTTGTTGTTAATTAGGTGTAATTCGGAATAATTCCCTAGAGGTAAATCCGTAACGTACAGGCAAACGGTATTTAGCTAGGTTTTCGAAACCAATCATGTACGGTTTACATATCACATGCTCCTCCATGTACCGAAAACAGGTCACGTGCTCCTCCATGCCTCAAAAATTAAACGCGTACCCCTGCAGTCTTCAGACCGCAGGAAATAAGAACAGAACAGAACAGATCTTTTATTTCTGATTTGTACATAGTACATCATCATATACATAACATAATAATATTTGAGTAACATGTAATTTTCAGTGCAATCAATATAAAGAAATTAATAAAATAAATAATATAAAGAGATTAATAATTGTAATTGTAACAATTGTCATTGTTCAGATATTTGTTATTAAGTCTCAGTTAAGTGAGGATGAACATATTTAAGAAGAAAAATCAATATCAAAACTAATTTTTTAATCTATCATTAAACTTTATTTTTAATAAACTAAATTTTGATCTATCATTGAACATTAATAAGTTTAAACAGCTTATTTCAGTGCATTTGAATGTCTATGTGATGATATTTTAAAATCTACAAAAATTATAGACCGGAGTAATTACATATAATTACTGGTTGGAGAGATAACTTCGACGCATAGATAACCCCAAAATCCTCACAGCTTTGCTACTTAAACTTAATTTACTTTAAGTTTCTGTACTGATCAGGGGAAGTAACCGCTGCGGGGAGTTTGAGATAACCCCGACACTTGGTATATTTTTTATTTATCTTTTTTTGTCATGGTTACATAGTACCGGGGTAATAAAGGAGGAGAACAGACTGCGGTGAGTTTTTAAATTTGGTAAACTTTTAAATGTGTTTATGTTGACCACAATTTTTTGTTACAAAAACGACCACAAAACACTCTTTTTACTTAACACCCAGACGGTAGTTAGAATTGTCTTGAACACAGGCTACTGACATGGACAAATTTCATTAAAAAATGTTGAATGATCAATTAGGCATAGATAAAGCATGTAAAATGTGAAAACGAGTGATTTGTTTTAATTTTCAAGCTAAATTGTACTTTAAATAAAATTAAAGTGTCGACTTTATCTACTGTCCAGAGTTAAAAAGACCATATTTCAGATACCTTATTCATTAGGGAGTACCAGTTTTCATTTTCAATAAAGGAAATTTGCCTATGATTATAAATGTTTGAACCGAACTTTGTTTAGGCTGGTAAAAATTAAAATATACGCAAAAAAAGTTATTTAAAAATAGTGATTTAGCGTCGAAGTTATCTCTCCAACCAGTACAGTACAGTAGATAAAATATACAAAAAGCACCGAATTTTATCAAATTGAGGTCAGCTTAAGGAAAATATTTCATAAGCTAAGTTTAACCTCAACTGGAGTATGCAGTCCCTGTTTGGCGTCAGCCTTTGGACACAATACGAAGAAAAGTCTTATTTTACTGTCTTTGGTTACACAACACAACCAGTATGGTTGCGTTGGAGGTATTGGCTGGAGTTCTTCCACTTGATTTGAGGCGCGATAAATTGAGTATTTGAGAATACGGAAAAATAATGGCAAAAAATATGATGCAGAACATTAATTAACTACCGATATATAAATGAAAAATTCAAAGAAAAAAAAACAATTTCCATTCTGGTTGCGTTCATTGAACGCCGCCTTTCCTTGTTGATCTTGTTTATCATGTATTTTCTTCATTCTCGCACAGGTAGTATTTAATACAATTATGATTAATAATATCACTACACAAAACAGTATATTGAACCAAAGTTTCGATACCTTTAATAATACCTGCAACCATCTAGAACCAGGTAAGATTATTGGAACGATCTAGGATCGCCCAAATACAGGACTCTTGAAAAAAAAAATAGATACAAAGCAACTTATCTCATCATTTCTATCTGGTGTACATGCAAAACAGCTGGAGCATTTACTGATGGTTACTAAACAGGAAATCCAAGTCACTGTGGTGAAGCGGCATGCATCCTCCTTCCAAACACAAAAAATATTTAACCGAAACAACCAGTATCAAAATCATCATCTATTCAAAAAGGAAATCTGGTTGCCCTTCAAGCCCTACGTACAGGAATAGGGAGATTTAAATTGAACAAGAAAAAAAATCATTGATGGCCAATTAGCTGTTGGAATAATTATTCTTGGCTTGGAAAATAAGACACAACAATTTTTTATCATCAGAGATACTCCAGTTGAGGAAAGAGACATCCCTGCCAAACCAACCCTTTCGCAGATATCACTCAAATGATAAAAAATAACGAAGCACTTGTTTAAACTGTCACTATGATCAATATTTCTTTAGTTATGCTGTTTCTTCACATGTATTAATTAAAATAATCTTAAATTAATGTTGTATCGTTAAACAACTGATGGCAGTGTAAATCTAAAAATGAAATATGAAATAGAACTTGATTCTCCCTTTCTTTTCCTTTTTATATATAAATGTGTAAAATATAGCAAAAACTGGTTTCATTTATTCGTTACGTAAATGGAAATACTAGCTTTATTAAAAGTTCTTAATAAAATATTTCCACACACATAAATGAAATGCCAAGTATTCAGTATACAAAGTATTGTGCATTTATGCAATTACCAAGTAATTCACTAGTGTATCACTATGTTTTTTGTGATATGTTAAATGCTACTAGACACAATTTTGCTTAAAATGTCAAATGAGGTTTTGTGCATATATAGTAATTTCGCATAGGATTTTTGTCAGTAAAACAATATACGATGAATTAAAAAAGATAAACGGTTCTGTTGGATATCAATACTGCGGGATACCAATACTTATAGTATTATTACATTTAACATAAACCAATGACCAGTAATAATGAAAACAGTGTAAGGGGTTCACAGAAAACATCGCTTTTAGGATTTATATCTTTCAGGATCAGTTACGTGTAAAGAGGAGTTATCAAGATTAGGATCAAATGATTCTACAAGACAAAACTATATATTGATTTATTTGATGTAAGAAGTGAAAAACATTTTATATAAGTGATTAACAGTATAAACTCAACTTTTTTTTCAGTATCATTTTGGAAAAAAATCATGAAT